GGCGTGGCGCGGCAGGCCCTGGATGTCCCGGAACAGGTCCTGCTCCTCCAGCTCGAAGAGGCGCCGGTTGTCGGGCACGAGGAGCGGCTGGGACCAGAAGGAGCCGATGTAGACGCGCAGCACCTCGGGCGTGCCCACCACCTTGCCCAGCGCCCACATGAGCGCCCCGTACACGCGCATCAGCTGCTGCGTCTCCACCATGTCGGCCTTGTTGAGCACCACGCGGATCTTGTCCTCGTGGCCGCGCAGGGCGCCGATGGCCTCGGAGAACTCGTCGGAGATCTCCAGCTTGTGCGCGTCGAACAGCAGGATGATGAGGTCCACGCGCTCGGCGAACCAGCGCAGCACCGCCGGGAAGTCGTAGCCTGGAGGGGGCGAGGGGGCGGGGCAAAGGTCAGCCCCTCCCCCTCCAGCCATCGGAGGCGTCCATCCCTTTGGGTTGACTATCAGAATCGCCGTCTATGTGAAATAGCCAAGGTCCTGGGAGTACCCCACTGCTCCTGCTTCACGCAGCCCCCAAAATTTCCCCCGTCACTCTGGCCCCAGTCCCTCAAGCCATCTAGCTACAGGGGCAATCAGCCCTTCCATTTTCCATCCATCCACCTATCCATCCATCCATCCATCAATCCATCCATCCATCCATCCATCCATCCATCCATCTATCTATCCATCCATCCATCCATCCATCCATCCATCCATCCATCTATCCATCCATCCATCTATCCATCCATCCATTCCTCATTCATTCATTCAGCAGATGCTAGTGGTATGCCTTGGTTCGGGTGTACAGGTTGTTAAAATACAGCAGTGTTGCCCTAGCTGGTTTGGCTCAGTGGATAGAGCGCCAGCTTGCGGACGGAAGGATCCCAGGTTCGATTCTGGTCAGGGGCATATGCCCGGGTTGTGGGCTCCATCCCCAAAAGGGGGTGTGCAGCAGGCAGCCAATCAATGATTCTCTCTCATTATTGATGTTTCTCTCTCCCTTCCTCTCTGAAATCAATTTTTTAAAAAACCAACAAACAAAACCCACAGCAGCGCTGAGTGCATGGAACGAGTCAGGAAGCATGCCAGACCCGGTGGGCGTCATTCACGCCTGCCCTGTGCTGGGACACGGCTTGCTCAGGCAGCCCAGTCCTGCCCTTCCCGGGCTCCCGGCCCACTGGGACACAGACCTGTCCCCAGAGGGGTCCGGCTGGGGTGGGGGAGCCCAGAGGGGATGCCTGACCCCGCCTGGGGAGTCCGGGAGGGCTTCTCAGAGGAGGGGCTGCGGAGTGGCCCCCTGGGGGACAAGAGGTTAACTGGCAGAATAGGGAGCCAGAGCTGATTCCCTGAGGTCACTTCATGCTCTGCTCCATAACTCACTGAACCTCCAAACAGCCCCAAGAAGACACACACTTTTATGCCCCTCCTCCCCCCCACACACACTTTCCAGATGAGAACATGGAGAGGTTAAGGCAGTGGTTCTCAACCTTCTGGCCCTTTAAATACAGTTCCTCATGTTGTGACCCCAACCATAAAATTATTTTCGTTGCTACTTCATAACTGTAATGTTGCTACTGTTATGAATCGTCTGGTCAATATCTGATACACAGGATGGTCTTAGGCGACCCCTGTGAAAGGGTCATTCGACCGCCAAAGGGGTCGCGACCCACAGGTTGAGAACCGCTGGATTAAGGGATGTCCTCAAACACACAGGGAAGAGGCCACAGAGCAGGAGTCTCCACGGGCCTCCCTGCCCAGCTGGGGAGCTGGTGCCGCCCCGCCTCCCAGGAGGAAGCCGGCTCCTGGGGCCGCTGGGCCTGGAGGGCCGGGTGGGGGACATTGTTTGGGGGGGAGGAAGGGCCAGGTCACCAGAGGGATGGCCGCTGGGGCCCCGCCCTCCCGTTTCTACACAAACACACACACAGCCCGGATTTGGAAAGTGTGCCTCATGCGGGAGGGCCGGCGGGAGGGAGATTGAGTCAGCGTGGGAATGGAGACGTGGCAGAGACAGGCCGGGCGCACGCGCACTCGCCCAGGAAAACAGTCCCATTAGCACTCCCGCAGCACCTACTGTGTGCCACACACTGTTTTCAGTGCTCTGCACAGGTTTTTTAAACAGATTTTTATTGATGTTAGAGAGAGAGGAAGGGAGAGGGAGGGAGACAGAAACACTGATGTGAGAGAGAAACATCGATCGGTTGTCTCCGGCACGCACCCCAACTGGGGATCAAACCCTACACCCGGGAATGTGCCCCGACCAGGGAATCCAACCTGCATGGCTCAACCAACTGAGCCGCGCCGGAGAGGGAGGGAGACAGAAACACTGATGTGAGAGAGAAACATCGATCGGTTGCCTCCGGCACGCACCCCAACTGGGGATCAAACCGGGCACCCGGGAATGTGCCCCGACCTGCACGCGCTCAGCCAGCTGAGCCGCGCCAGCCAGGCGCTCTGCACATTCTGACATTTAGTTTTAACCCTCAGTGCAACCTGTGAGGCTGATACTATTATTATTCCCATTTTACAGATGAGGAGACTGAGGCACGGGGAGGTTAAGTAGCTTGCCCAGGTCCCACAGTTTAAAAATAGCAGAGTCCAGATTTGAACCGGGCCAGAGCGCTCCATTATGCTACAATCACTCTCTCTCTCTCTCTCTCTCACACACACACACACACACACACATGCTCACTCACAGGCGCCCGCCCAGCGCACACCCGGCCACACGCTACAAGTTGCAGACGCCCAGACACACTCTTGCCCACAACCTGGGACCTTCACAGAGATCCGTGGTCACACAGCCACAGACACGGAGACACGCACAACGTCACAGACACCAGCACGCGCACAAGCAGAGGCACTTTCACACCCGCGATGCGCGCGCGGCCCCGCAACCTTCCAGGCGCCAAGGCGCCCGCACGGACACGATCACACAGTCCCACAGAGGCACACCCCTCACGCTCTCACTTGCACACACAAGCTCACACTGTGCGCAGAGAACCGTCACCCACAGTCCCTCGGAGCCCCCACAGCCCCCCACGGTTCTCCAGAGGCACACAGTGTCACAGCCAGGCAGAGGCACAGACTC